AAGAAACCCAGGAAATGCGAACTGATGGCTATTCATGACTGCCACTTGACCTCATTATATAATATTTCAATTAAAAAGGATGTAAAATATTTAGGAATTATAATTTCAAAAGATGAAGATAGAATAGAATTGTTAAATATTGATAGAAATATTGAAAAATGTAGATCCAATCTGAACTTTTGGTTACAGAGGGACATCACAATATTCGGGAGAATATTATTAACAAAAATAGAGAGTCTTTCAAGGTTAATTTACCCAGGGTCTTCATTGCCGATTTCTACCAGAAAGATAAAAGCTATTAATAAATTGAATTTTTATTTCATCTGGAGAAAGAAATATCACTACATTCGAAAAAATGATATAATAAAGGAATACGAGGAAGGTGGGCTAAAGGCAACTGATTTTGATATCATGAATGGGGTTCTTAAACTTAAATGGCTCCAATCTTTTATCAAAAATGAGCATTCATTTTGGTTTGCAATTCCATCCAGTCTCTTTAAAAAATGTGGAGGTATAACGTTTTTTTTACAATGTGACTTTGAGCTTTCTAAAGTTCCACTGAAACTATCTGTTTTTCATAAACAAGTCCTCTTGTATTGGAAGATGTTGTTCAAACATAATTTCAGTCCACATAATGTATCCTTATGGAATAATCGTTGCATATTGTTTCAGAGAAAATTTTTGTTTATGGAGGCGTGGTGGCAAAAAGGTATTTGGTCAGTGCTGCACATGATGGATACAAATGGCTGTTTTTGGAATTGTAATGATTTCTGTACCAAATTCAACTTTAATTGTGAGAAAAAAGATTATATAAAAGTCATCAAAAGTATTCCTTTACCATTGGTTATTATGTTAAAAGGATTTTTAACATTTTCTACGCTTATTCCCAGAATAGTTGATCTTAATTTAGACAAAACAAGTTTTGTTGATAAGAAGTGTACTAATAAGATTATAAGAAACTGTCTTTTGCAGGAAAGCTATCCTGGTCGTATACGAAGATATTACATTTTTCGACATCTCAGTAGGAAATTAGTAAAGGAATTCAGAAGCAAATATCTTGTATTTCCCCTTCCACCCAAATATAAAGAAATACATTTTTAAATTATGTATGATATTTACCCAGCCAAAGAATTTCTAAGATTAAGATTTAATGTGGAGTCAAATACTTGTCAGATTTGTAATAATGATATTGAAACTGAACATTTATTTTTTTCAATTCAATTTGGTTAATCCATTTTGGAATGAGGTGCTTAATTGGATAAAACATAAAGTACCTTCTTTTCCATCTATCAGTTGGGATATGGTAAAATTCGGTGTACATTTGGAGGACAAAAATGCAGACTTTGTTATAAATTGTCTATTTCTTATAGTTAAAATTTTTATTCACAAATGTAAAGTTTTGAAAACTGCACATATATTTAATATATTTACAAAAGAGCTAAGCCTATATACTTGTCAGACTCTGTTCCCATTATGTTCCCTGATTAGTTCCATTAGTTCCAGCTGTGTTATTAATTATCTTCATTTGCTCCTGTGTATTTAAAGTGTTCCCAGTTCTTAGTTCTTTGTCTGGTATTGTGAATGTCTGTAGATGTCTACCTCCTTTACTACGTGTGTTTTCCTGGTTCCCTTGATGTAAATAATATCCCTTTATTGATGTACTCCTGGTCTCCTCGTTCCTCGTTCCTCGCTCCGCGCTCCCTCACAGTAGCACCGTGACAGAATACCAGACCTAAACATAAAGTAAGCGGCGCCCCTTCTCTTTTTTGGATTGTTTTCCTCCCCATATCAGTAGACAGTCCCAATATACACTGTAAAAAATTACCGTGAATTTAACGGTAAAAGACTATTACCATGATGGTGTTTAGCGTTTGTGTGAATGCACCTTCTATATATGTTATTATTTAAAAGCTGCTTGTGATGGCCTTTGGTTCATCATGTGACTTTCTCATCACCACCTGCATTTGGTGGTTATATCAGTGTATTACAAAGGTACAAAACCGATTTCAGTACTTTAATAGGTTGGTATATTAACATTATATCAGTTAATGAAATTATGGTATTTAACTGTAAGTTTAAGTTAAAACCGTAAAACCTTTTTTTTTTTTTTTTACAGTGTACTGATATATTTCATTTATGTTCCCAATTAAATTGTTGGGATGAATGGAGGCACAGAAATCTTGATAAGATAGACTTTACTTCTATACAATCTAGAATTGACTTTTGGTTAACATCTGAGGAACTTGGGAATCAAATTCAGGAGACTGAAATAGTGCCTTCAGTCTTCAGTGAATAGAATGATCCATTTAGTTATCAGCCTTGGTGATACAAGAACTCGAGGATCTAATTTCAATTACTGGAAATTACATAATTCACTTTTTGAAGATGTTCAGTTTAAGGATAAGGTTAAAAGTGTGATAAAGAGATGTTACAATAATGCTAAAATATCAGGCTTATATGGAACAAATTGGGAAATTATGAAATATGAAATTAGAAAATTTGCAGTCTCGAGAAGTAAAGAAATAGCCAGAAACAAAGAAAATAGTTTAATTCAAAACATAATGGATATATATGACAAACAAATAGAAAGAGAACAAGATAAAAATCGTTTAATAAAATTAAAATTGTAATTAGAACAAATCTATGAATATAAAGCTAAGGGTGCGTTTATAAGGTCAAGGAGAAAGTGGTTAGAAAAAGGTGAATGAAATTCTAAATATTTTTTAAATCTTGAAAGAAAAAATTGAGATTTTTCCTCTTTAAACAAACTCAAGATTAACGATTCTCTTACAGTGGACCTAAAATTAATACCTAATTTTGTTGTTACATTTTATGAAAAGTTATATGGCCAAAATAATAATTTAGGTAATGCTGCTTTTTTTTCTAGATTCACTTAAAAAAATGCAAAAACTATAGATCATCATTCTAAATACATATGTGTTCAAGACATAACTCTTGAAGAAATTCATAAAAGCATTGTAAAGCTTAAAAATAATAAAGCACCAGGAAACAATGGGCTGACCTGTGAATTTCATAAAGAGTTCAAAGAAGATATCGCAGAGTTTCTTTTATGTCTTTAAAGAAACTTTGCAAAATGAAGTAATGTTGCCAACTATGTTACAGGGATTGATTACATTGATTCCTAAGCCAGGTAAATACCTATTAAATATAGAAAATTGGAGACCAATAACTCTAATCAATAATGATACTAAATTACTTTCACATATATTTGCAAGTCGATTAAAGTTAGTTTTAAATGAAATTATAGATGATTGTCAATCTGGCTTCTTACGTGGTAGATAAATTGGCAATAATATTCGATTAATATTAGATTTGATTGACTACAATTTTCTTTTAAATTATGAGTTATTTTTTTTTTTTTATAGATTATTATAAAGCATTCGATACTGTAAACCACAAATTTGTATTTGAAGTTCTTGATTTCTTTGGTTTTGGCAACAACTTTATCCGTGCAGTTCGAACATTATATAATGATTGCAATAGCTCTGTTAAACTACCCTTCGGTACCACTCCTAGATTTATTATAGGTAGAGGTGTTAAACAAGGAGATCCATTGTCTCCTCTGTTATTTTTATTGGTCATGCAAGTATTGTATCTTCATATTAAAATCAGTCCATTTCAAGGTATCCAGTTGGCCAATAATGCATTAAATGTTTGCAGTTAGCAGATGATACGGCAATTTTTCTAAAAGATATAAAAGAATTGGCTCTTGAGTGTCTTTATGAATTCTATTTAGTTTCAGGGTTAGCTATAAATATTAAAAAATGTGAATTGTTTGCTTTAAAAGAAAGGACCCAGTAACTTGTCTGAATTTTGTGGCATTCCAATAAAAGACTATACTATTTAGGAACTATGATATGCAAAGATCAAAAAGAAAGAATAAATCTTAATTATACCCCAATAATGAACAAAATTCAAAAGAAATTTAACATTTGGCTGATGAGAGACCTTTCTTTAAACGGGAGAGTTTTATTATCAAAATCTGAAGGTTTATCCAGACTAGTTTACACCGCAATGGCTATAGATATTCCAAAAAGTATCATTAATGAGATAAATAAATGTATATATCATTTTATTTGGAAAAATAAACATTATTTGTATAAAAAAATACTTTGTAATCCACTTAATCAAGGTGGGCTAAATGTACTTGATTTTGAGATATTTTGAAATATATTTTTAAAATTAAGTGGATACAAAATTATATCCGTTCAAAAGATAAGCTATGGTATTATATCCCTAATATTATTTTTGAAAAAGTAGGTGGTATTGAATTTCTTCTTAATTGTAATTTTAATATTAGCAAGCTTCCCATAAAACTTTCCAATTTCCAATTCCTACACCGAGCCGTAGTTCACTGACAAGCTAGACAAACAGCTTTCATAATCGCAGAACTATATCTTCGATTTCATAATCGCGCGATTAAATCGTCTGGGATTATGAACGCGATTTTGCGTAGCTGGTCAGTGAACTACGGCACTGGCTGCGTCCGAAACCGCCTACTTCTCTACTATATAGTATCAACCCAAAATGTATTGGTTATACTACAATCACAATAAAAGGGCAGCTGTTTCTTCAACAAGACCACAAAATGAGGAAATTTCATAAACATCAAAATATTTACAGAGAGATCAATTAAACCTGCCGCTCGTATCTTTTAAGTTGTTGCGCTTGTAACGTCGTAGATCACATGATAACGTCAACATGGCGGATGAAGTCCGGATCTCATTCATACTTAACGAGATTTGGCTGTAGAGTGCCTACTCTTTTAGCGCTCGTTAAGTAAGTACTTATTGAAATTAAGTACCTACTCATTGAGTAGGCGGTTTCGGACGCAGCCTGTGTAGTAAATGCTGCTCCATCTGAAAGCACGTGCTGGAGATTTACTAATCACAGAACCGGCTTTACTGACAAGATACTACACCTGACAATCACATTCGATTAATCGTGCAGCCCTACAAATACTGGACACTCCCAGATGTCTTCTATATAAGAAAGTCTCCTACTTAGTTCTCTCACAGTTCCCCTCTCAGGTCGAAGTCTTTTTTGAGACAAACTGGGGGAAAATGGACTGCATATTACTTTTCTCCATCTCGGCTGTGCTGCTAAATCTCTCTCGAGCTTTTCCTGCTACGGTAAGAGCTGCAGCTCTCAGATTTGAGCATCCTTCATTCATTCGCTCACTCACTCTGTATCCTGCTCTTTCCACAGGTTGCTCAGGGTGAGTTTCTATTCAACCCTCATGTGTTCTTCAAATCCGGTAGAACAGTGGTGCTTGACTCGGATAAGAGAAATTAATGTAGCTCTCTCTTTATTCAAGTCATTTCATTCATTTGAGTGGCGTGAAATATTTTCAACCGCAAAATTCCCCAAACATGTCCACCTATGCAATCTTGATCCTATTCCAAAATGACAAAATCATTATAATGCAACCAAAGATAATTTGAGAAAAATAAGTTACTTTACCTCCCAAGTCTTTCATTCATTTGTCACATGACCGACGCAATGAACAAATTGTTCATGAATGACCCATTACTAACTGGGTCCCCAGTACCAGGATTAAGAACCACTAATTTAGACCAATAAAATACACAAATATAGAAAATATGGTTTAATATTGCCATTCTTTCTTCAGATATCCAGTCTGATGATGTGGATGTATTCTCAAGAATTCTGCAGGCAAACAAAGGTAATAGTTATTTACTACTTGACTACGACAATGTTGGTAATTTTTAATGCTTTTTACTATTATTATTATTATTATTATTATTATTATTATTATTATTATATAAATATACTAAATATTTATAAATTAGGTTTGTCAATCGATTAAAAATTTTAATCTAATGAATTACACAATGTGGTGATTTAATTAATCTAATTGCATATTAATCGCACATCAAATTTGGCTGAGAAATGATGCACAAAAGAATTTAAAGCCATTATTGTGTTACATAAGAAATGCATGAAATGTATATTACAAAAAACAGCTTTATAGAATTTTTTTTTTTTTTTAGTGAAATGATACTCTAAATAGGAAACTAAAACTGTCTTGTCATGTCTTAATGAGTAGCCTAAGTCATTGAGTCATTCATTCATTAATTCGATACATTCAAATGACTGATTCATTCAGGAAATGCCGGACCCTGCATCCCAATCAAACCTCTACATGCGCAACACCGACGTCCTACGTCATCCGCCCGGAGCTGCTTCATAGAATTTTTTTTTTTTTTTTTTTAAATATTAATACGTAAATGGCAAATTTTTTTAGTGAAATGATACTCTAAATAGGAAACTAAAACTGCCAGTATAGGTGGCGGTAAATGTCTTGAATGTCATTTGTTCATCGGATTCGTTCAGAAGTTGTGTTGCTTGGAAAAGCACAACAGTTCTGCTGTGGCTTTAATAGGTAATATTTGCGTCGGCTAAACTGAGCAAAAACAGACAATATTGTGTTTAAAATATAACGCAATATTAACTTATTTACTGAACTGTTGTATTAAAATTCCATTTGCACTCCTGTTATTTGGGACAAAAACAGCACTCGTGTGATTGATCTCGCTGTTCGTGATCTCGCTTATCATATGATTTAAAAATGAGACCAATGCAAAGTGTCGCTTTTTGGCCAAAAATATATCTATTTAGGGGCACATAACTGCATTTATGGACTACATAGTTGTTGCGCTGCATCATGTTTGTTAACTGGTATGAAGTATAAGATGATGTACAGGTCTCGGGCGGGGCGTTAAAATTAATTAAATTAACGCGTTAAACCGTAAGCCCTATTATACATATAAATAGCAATGGTTCATTTAACTTTTTTTTTTTTTTTTAATTTTTTTTAAATGTATATTAGCCTATTTATAGTTTGTAGCCTACATGATTTCACCGTTAAAACACATGTATGTCTATTTAAATATTAATCATGCGTTTGCTTGCAGATAACCTTTTAACACTTCTATAAGCGATTAAATGAGTGAAATGATTCTAACACTTTTTTTTTTGTTTGTTTTATGATTCAGAGATCAGTGGCATGCTTCTTGAGGGAGATATGGTCTTACCCACAACAAAGAATGCCATGAAATGTTTAAATGACTACTGCAGATGGCCAAAGTCCTCATCTGGATGGGTTGAAGTGCCATATTCCATTGCTAATGACTTCTGTGAGTGATGAGAAATCCACTTTTATGTAGCTATATTCTGCATCAACATTCAATAGCCTACATAATTGTGTGTGTGTGTGTTTATGATAGATGATTATGAGAGGACAGTGATTGAAAATGCAATGAAGAGCATTGCTGCTAAAACCTGTGTCCATTTTGTGCCACGAACTAATCAAGTGGACTACATCAGCATTGAGAATCTAGTAGGGTGAGCTTGATCACACCTGAATATACTCATACCTGAATCCCGTTCAAAAGTTTAAGGTCAGTGATGTTGTTGTTGTTGTTGTTACGTTTTACAAGGATGAATTAAATTGATCAAACGTGACAGTAAATGCGTTTTTGCTTGCAGATAACCTTTTAACACTTCTATAAGCGATTAAATGAGTGAAATGATTCTAACACTTTTTTTTTTGTTTGTTTTATGATTCAGAGATCAGTGGCATGCTTCTTGAGGGAGATATGGTCTTACCCACAACAAAGAATGCCATGAAATGTTTAAATGACTACTGCAGATGGCCAAAGTCCTCATCTGGATGGGTTGAAGTGCCATATTCCATTGCTAATGACTTCTGTGAGTGATGAGAAATCCACTTTTATGTAGCTATATTCTGCATCAACATTCAATAGCCTACATAATTGTGTGTGTGTGTTTATGATAGATGATTATGAGAGGACAGTGATTGAAAATGCAATGAAGAGCATTGCTGCTAAAACCTGTGTCCATTTTGTGCCACGAACTAATCAAGTGGACTACATCAGCATTGAGAATCTAGTAGGGTGAGCTTGATCACACCTGAATATACTCATACCTGAATCCCGTTCAAAAGTTTAAGGTCAGTGATGTTGTTGTTGTTGTTGTTGTTGTTACGTTTTACAAGGATGAATTAAATTGATCAAACGTGACCGTAAATGCGTTTATAGCGTTAAAAGATTTATATTTTAAATAAACTGTTCTTTCTGTTCATCAAAGAATTCTGAAAAAATGTATCCGTGTTTTCACAAGATATTAAGCAGCAATATTGTTTTCAATAATAGTTTCTTGAGCACCAAATCAGCATATTAGAATATTTCTGAAGGATCATGTGACACTAAAGACGGGAGTAATGGCTACTGAATATTCAGCTTTGCGATCACAGGAATAAATTACGTTTTAAAATTTATTAAAGTAGAATAGTAATATTGCTGATTTTATGTTCGATCAAATAAATTCAAGAGTTTTCTTTCAAAAACATTGAAGAGAACTTTTGAACACTAGTGTACATTTGAGTTCACATCAATTTAACTTTAAATTTATTGTTACGCTGCAATTTGCAGGGTTTTTTTTTTTTTTT